AGCCAGGGATGGGCAAACTGTGAGCATACGGGTCTCGTGAATGGAGATAAGACTGAACAAAACGTATACAACACTGACCAATATTGTCCAAGAATTTTAAGAAGATGTTAGTTGACGTTCACGATTTCAATTGATTAAACGTGATGTATAATAGGTATATATAATAATAGGTATATTAGGTATACAAGAATAGCTTCGTTGGACGAATCATGGAACACCTGCAAGTAAGTATAAGATGAACAACTTAATAAATAAGGGTGACAAATTTTTATTATTATTAAAAATGTTGATTATATAGTATAAACTAGGTGATTAATAATATACTGTAAATATTGTAATCTCGGGAAAATTCAAAAATAAAAACTAGAGTAGGTGTATGATAGATACAAAAAATTGTATTCATATCATAAATCATTTTTAATGAATATTATCCTTAGTATAAACATAAATTTACAACTGAGAAACAGTTCGTTCGAATTTTGAATTATATAGTTACTTACATCAAACTTTTCCAAAATAAACATCTATTAAATAATTTACTCTGAAAAAAAGGGTGTATGGGGATTCTCATTTGAGTATTCGTAGCATCATAGGACACTTCTTAAAAGGTAAAAAAAAAAAATCATAAATTTAATAATATTATGGTATATTTGAAAATTCCATAATCAGAATTTCAATAAATTCATTAAATTATAATTTAATAATAATATTAAAGAAAAAATTATTAAAGAAAAAAGGGTGTGAGCATGCTGCATGCTTGGTGCGAATACCACCCTGTATATTGTGTTTATTTTATTTATATCTCAGGTCCCATGATTTGAAAAAGTTTACCCGTCCCTGGCTTGAACTACATACGCTTTTAAAATTGTATACGTACGTGGTGTGTGTGTGTGTGTGTGTGTGTAAGTGTGTGTACGGGAATAGTAAAATATACGCACTCGACCGTATCCCATCGAAACCATTTTTTATACACCGCAGCGCTTATAATAGGTGCGCGGTGAACGGGATTGGATTTTTTTCTCTATATCGAATCGGTATTATTATATTATTAATATTGTATTATGTATACATGTCTAAAGACGAAACATTAGCTCTATACATATGTCTCTAAACTCTATGTATATAATATAATGCAAGACGTGTCAGTTCATTCCGGTGACGTTGACCAGAATTTCGGATCATTTATTCATAATAGTACATGTACATAATAATAATGTTATACCACTATCTCTACTTGCACGCGAATCGGACCTCGCGTGCAAATGTGATTTTATTTTTCCACCGGTTTCTCGGCATCATAAACGTACCTATATTATATAAACCATTCACATGATGGAGGCTATACACTTCATTGCTAAAAGTTTTTAGAAAATAGGTTTAGCAAAACACACGTTAGAAATAAGTATTATAATTTCAGATTCTGAGAGGACCGATGAATGTAGATTTTACAATGATGTGTGTTTTAAAAATTTTTGTTTGTCTGTGTACACTATAAGTAGTTGAAATAATACGTTGATTTACAACTTCAGTATCTTGTTCAATAGGAATGTGAGTCTAGTTAGTAAGTTAAAATGTCCAGTAGTTTTCAAAAACATTGGGAAAAACGGAAATTTTTAGCCAAAACTTTAAAACAAATGCTTTGTACGAGACAAGTGACACAAATGACACATGAAATGTTCTCTGAATATTTATACTAGCATTTTCTATACACTATAAAATTTTCAAAATATTTTGACTTATTTTGTGTTGTTTACTGACATTTTCTGTTTCCGATATTTTTAGTTTTTTTTTTCTCTATAAATGTTTATAAAATTGTATTCGTTGTGTAAAAAAGCTTGCAAATTGTATACAATGTTCCTGTTAAATTGATACAACAGCAGTTGAAAAATATTAAAAATACATAAGCACAATATATTTTTTTTAAGCATTTAAATTAAATTTTTTACAACATTTATCGATTTGATAATTTAAAAATTTAATTTAATTTAAAAATAACCAATAATCAATATATTATAGTAATATCGACTATAATATTTTTAACCATTAACTATAGTAAAATTATTTTTTTCCGTGTGTGTATACAAAACTATAGTTAACTATAGTTAAAAATGTATTATAAATGGTTTCAGTTACGATTGCTAAAGAAATGTATTTAAGGGTTCTGTTCCAGTTTCGGTCCAAAACCGGTCTATTTCGGTACGGTTCCAATCCCTGAATTTTAAACATTTTAAAGGTTAAATTAATAATTTAGTTTATATATTAAAATAATAAGGTTACTCAAATCCTAATTTATTTCAAAATGTATTAAAAAAAATGTATTTGATATTCTAAGAATATAATTTGCTATGAAGTATAAATTATAGTTAAAAAAGTATTTTAAATTTAAATTATTTCTAGTCACTAGATATGTGAACATATTATTATGGTACCTACATTATAGTTGGTACCATAACTATAAATATTAGTTTGGTAATTTTGGTTTAAAATAATTCTTGTATTATGTATTTTTAAATGTTTTCTGACTTTCTAGTCTATTTTTTATTTAATCAATTTTAAAATGATTCATATTCATAATTAACAATAATGGGTTTATAACCTTATAACCTATTTGTTAAATGTCCGATAATTTAAGTTATTGCAAGTTTCTATACGATATAATACATTAATACGGTATTGTACGAAAAAAAAATACCGTGCTTAACATCCCTATTCTAAAAGTGTACAATGAAAAATAAAATATAAAAATATATCAAGTACAATCCAATACTTATTGAATATATATTATATATTATATTATATACTTATTAGTTATTAGTTTTATATTTTATTGATTTCAATAATTATAAATACATAATATACATAGTGCAGTGATATACATGATATTATCAATAATTTTATTATATTATAAATATCCATCCTACCAATCGATCTAATAATGAGATAATACTTCTGAAAACTGATCTGAATTCGTTAGAATTTCTATTAGACATCGGTGAGTCCACATTAAGATTTCTGCTTTAAATTTCGAATAAATCTAGAATAATCAACGTTTAAAAATTCAAAAATTTCAAAATATTCAAGCTAAATTGTTGGTGGTTGGAGGGTGAAATTGGGAAAATTGGACTGACCAATCTCAAGTAGACATAATAACGAATTCAAATCTGTTTTAAAAAGTATTATCGCATTACTAGATCGATCAGTATGATGGAATGAAAATTGAATGTTTTTGCTAACATAATTGTTTAATATATTATAAAAAATAGTATTTCGTCAGGAACTTTTTTTCCCGACTAGCCCTGCATCGTGCCATAAAAAACTTTGTTTCAATAATTTGGTGAAAAAAAAAATAAAATACTAAGTAGGTACATCCACAGTAAAATATAGGTGATAAATCAGAGGCCTTGATTTAACACCAAAATGTATATATTTTGAATCAAACACTTTATTATTTATATAAAAATAGGCCGTAAACATTTTTGGGAAATTTAATGACATTTTTAAAACCTGTTGACTTGGGTTTTAGCAACAAAATTTGAAATATGTTAATATTTAAATCTGAAAATTGAATACATATAATTAAATACTATAGTTGTATAATATTGATCATACATTCATACGCATAATTCTAACATTTCTGTGAAGATTTCTAAACATTTGTTTTGATGAAGCAATTTATTTAATTTTAAATCTATGTTTTATTAATTTTTGCAATAAATTCGCTCATTTTTTTTCAATGATACTTATTTCATTTGTCGCTCATGTATAAATGATTAATGAAAAATATATGAATCAATACAAATATACAATGTATGCACAAATAAGTTAAGATAATATTACGCTCGGGAATGAATCATAATAGCGGTGTCGCTGCTCCAGATCCGCGGTCCTTATAGATAAGATGTCATTCAAAAAGTTTTTAAAAAATAGTAGCTAAATACTTTTAAAATTCGTTGTAAGAGTATAGTGCTATAAATACTTCAAACTGTAATATAACAAAATTGTTTTCCGAAAATATAAACAATGACTTGGACAATTATATACTGTAGCCATCATATAGTTAAACAAATCATCCCGTACTGCACATCACGTAATTCGCTGCAGACTCCTTCGTGTACTGCAGTATATGAGTATACCTATATTATAATACTATGATATATAATATAATATAATGGCGAAGTCTATCTCGTGCAGAGTATATTATTTTGTACACCACCTCGTATATATACGTCCTAAGGTTATGCACGCGATCGTCGACGCTGAGGAGGGCGGCACTCGAGTTTTGAGCATATATATATCGTATATACACGTCGTATTATATAATATAAAATAGTGCGTGCAGCACTTTTCGATCCTCACGCGATGATTTCTACGACTTGCGATCGAACTGTGATAGTATATTATACAGTGATCATTGGAGTTACCGGATTTGGTGACCATATGTATTACTGCTTGTTATTCTTTCCATTGGTATATTATAATATAGGTAGGTACCCACAAATCTATATCAGCTATAAATTCCATTCGTACTAAATTATAATACGTAGATTAAAATACTTCAAGTTTTTATTCAATTTTTCAATTAATTTAAGGAGGATCATTTTAAATTGTAATACCTTGTTGCATTATTTCCGAGTGTAAAATCTCAAATCATTATAGATCATAATATTATCTATAATGATTTGAGGTGTATATGTTACGGGCAAAGTAGACTTTCGGGCAATGTTCACATTGCCCGGGCATTATGGTACTGCCCGATTATGGTGGGCAATGTAGGCAAAATTATACATTGTCCAGGCTGTATAGAATTGCCCAGTCTAGTTGGGGCAATATAAACCAAAAGTTTTTATATTATAATTATAAACATTTCTAATCTTATCGATCTTGTTAATTACTTTATTATTTGAATATTATTATTATTAACTTAACTATTTATTTTTACAATTATCATTATATTTTTTATTACAATTACATCAAATAATACTTAAATATCATCATATTAATTATTTATTTTTGCAATTATTATTAGAATGGCATTTTGAATTGCATTTTTTCCCTGCCGCTTTACATTTACATTTTTTATTTGAACATTGTTGGGTACAATTACACCTATCATACCCCTGTCCTCCTAAATTTGAATATTTCCTCGCTGCTTCTCGTAATGTAATTGTTAGATCAGGCACCTCCTCTACAGTAACCAATTTTTCTTTGCACATAGTAAACTGGTTACGACTATATGTGTGTTCCAACTTTCCTTCGGTAGTTCCTATCTTATAGTTATCGTCATGAACTAAAATAATAAATAAAAATATTAAAATGATATGTATTAAACTTAAATGTATAATAAAATTTGCGTTTTACCTGCTAGAATAACTCCAAGAATACAACGAAGGTCGCTGCGAGCTCTGTCTACATCAGGTATTTTGATTTTGACGGTTTCACCCACTTTTGCCTCACAAAATCTTTTTTCGGATGCTTCTTTCATTCGATTAGCTTGAGTTTTTAAATTTACGACTGACTCTGTTCTTACAGCAGTTATTTTATTTATTCTATTATCTATTTTTTCTTCTTCATTTTTTTCTTCAATCAATGTTTCATCAACTTCACAATGATCACCAGTATTCATGGATGTAATAGCTGCCTCTAAATCTTCTTCAGTTTTTAATTTATTAATTATTGATATTGGAAGTACCGATGATTTTAATCCAATTTTAGCGCTACATCCAAACATTGCTTCATATGGACTGCATTTTATTCCATGATGTAACGATCGATTTTTCATCAATTGGACAAATTTTAGTCCTTCACTCCATTTTTTTGTTTTATTGTCTTGTAACCAAGTGGCAAGTATGTTTTCCACATCTTGATTGGCTCTTTCGACGGACCCTTGACTTTGCGAATGTCTCGGTTTTCCGTGTACAATTTTTAAATCTTCCCACATATTACATAATTCGTTTATTATTTTATTTACAGATATGCATAGATTTAAATATAACATAATTGATTCTCTTGTAATGTTTTTATATTTTTTATTAAGCTCATATTCCATACGGTTTCGTCCACCATGACCGATAGTTAAATGAGTATCATGAATAATATTAAATAATTCTTCATTAAAAACATAGTACTTAAGATCATTACCTTCATTACTCACTGGAACAATTAATTTTTCCATGTCAGATACTGTTATTACATCATATTTTTTCAAAAGTTTATGGCCTCTTGATTTCAGTTTAAGTTGTTTTACTTCAGATATTAATTCATCGTATTTAGTTTTAGTTAAATATGTACTATTAACATTTTTATTTTTTAATGCAATTTCTAGATTTTTTAAATATTGCCCTTCCATTTCAATTAATTTAGTTTAAATACCACACCCGTTAATACAGCGAACACTACACTAACACTACGACGTTATTACTAACGACTTTCAACCGGGCAGTATTAACAACTCACATTTTGTACGATTCAATGATTACGATAATAATTATTGTACAATATCTAAAAGGTAAAACGGATTTACCGATAATATAATCTTGAAACGACGATAATTGACGAGATAATATTGAGAGTTTTGTATATTGGTACCTCGTGGCTCATACTAGTATAGGTATTTGAAATACTAACAGACAACGGTTTCATAATATTATAGTTGATAGTTTAAGTTACAATGTCTAATTTACTACGGGCAAAGTATACATGGACCGGTGAAAGTATCACCCTGCCCGGTCATAATAGTATTTTAATATATTGCCCAAAAACAGCGGGCAAAGTATACATAGACCGGGCAATGTTCACATTGCCCGAAAGTCTACTTTGCCCGTAACATATATACTATATATTATATACACCTAAATCGAATTGCATGGCTTTAGTCGTCTTGAAATTACGATGTCAGTATACCAACGGAGTATTTTCTCATGCGGTACCATTACTGTTTATCACAGCAAACTGCAAAGTATTTTTAAAATAATTAAAATTATTTTAAAACGTATTATAATGTTTAAATAGATGTCCAGTCAAATTAGGAAAAAGATCGGAAAAAATTCGCCCCCAACTGAATTTTGGTACACACTTAAAATGTACCTTCCCAATTGACATACTAAAAGTCCTGACGCCTAACCCCTGTGCGTATCTCTCCACCCCCCAAAAAGGGGTGAAATCTACCCTCCCGCTATTTTTCTTATAACTCGTTAACCATTGAACTCACGACAAAAAAGTATAGGACCAAAATTAAAGACCGTAAAATTTACTATAAGAATATAATATTGTAATCACTACAATTTTAACGTGGTAGTTTTAAGTAAACTTTTTTTTAAAAAAAACTGAATTTTTTTTTTTTAATTTTTTTTCAGCCAAAATTTATAGTTTTAAACGAAAATGACCTATAAGAAAAATGATAGCCCTTTGTTTTTACATAATATACTTTTTTAAATTTTTTTTTTATATTCATTACCATAAGATTTAAGGTAGTTGTTATGTAAGATGCGGCGGTGTTATATCTGTACTGTTGATAATACGAACCAAGTTCGAACATAATGTAAAAATTCACTGAAAGCTGAATATTGGCATACACCTACTATATACTTCATTAATGATCATACTTAAAGTTCTGACGCTTACCCTTCGTGCTTACCCTTCTAACCCCCCCCCCGCCTTCAAAAGGGTGGTTTTACAATGTTTTTACTTATAAATCATTATCCTTGGAACTGACGACCAAAATATATACAACTAAAATTAAAGACTATTACATTTACTATAATATTATAATATTTTGCATACTTAAATGTTTACAAGATAAGTTCAGTTATAAATACAACTTTTATGAAATGTCTTTACAGTTACAATATGTTTATTTACAATATTATTATTTATTAGATTATTATACTAGTAGGTACTACTTAATTCTAGAATTTTTACAGAAAACATTAAAATAAATTTACAATACCATATTATTTACACTAAGTACCAACATTTTTATTTTATTTGGTTCCGGGTGAATTTTGTTTTGCCTGTAACCAAAAAAAAAAAATTGAACGCTATTTAGTATTATAGTTTACAATTATTATATATATAAATTTAAAGTAAATTCATACCTAATTAATTAAGTGGTGCAGTTTTGCACAGCGGTCTTTTTGCATATGTGTGTCTATATATCCATTTCTTTATCGGGTTATTCGTTGTCTTCGTCTATGCTAGTGGTCCATTGTCCATCTTTATACAACTCCACGTCGTCGTCGTCATCATCATCACAAATTAGTTGCTGGTTTAAACACGATGTGCCTTGACAATTTTTACATATTATGGAACATCGCATTCCCGCTTTTTTACAGCCACAATTTTTCTCGCATGATTTAGTGCAAGCACAACTTATAACCGATAGAAGGGAGTCTGTTGCTGGTGGTTTCTTTGTAAAGATCGGTATTATTTTTTTATCTACTTTTTCCCAGCCCCAGTCTAACGGATTAAGTATTTTCCCACGCCAAAGTTGTACTTGTAAGTAAACCCTAAACAAATGCTGCCTTGCTGAATCGACTGTTGGAGGGAGTCGAGAAAGTTTGACTTCTTTTTTGCTGGAAGCCACTGTTTTTCGGAATACATCATACCTGTGACAATTTAATGTACTAGTGTTTGCTGGTGCTTTAAATAATTTTAACAAGTACTTTTCTCCCGCACGCAAAATTTCCTCATGTGTAGCTGATTCATTGTTAAAAACTAATAATGAATCGTGTAGTTCTGGATGTGCTTGAACTGTTTTTAAATGTTTAATTTTCCCTTGTTGAAAGATAGCTGACGTTGTATCACACCCACCAATTGCATGTACAAACAAAAAATAAGGAAGTTCAACTTTAAATTGTAGCTGTAAATTTTTTATAGAGTATGATCTAGTTTCCGTACTTCCTTTGCCTGGTTTTTTAAAAATTTTGTCGATTTTGTCGTCAGCGTTGGTCGAATTTTCATATGTAATGATTGGAACGGACTCAATGTTACTAATTGTCTCTGCTGTAACTGCCTTTTTCACTTTTTCAATACGTTTATTCCAAAGTACTGCATTTGTTGGTACAACACATTGAATCCCGCCCATTGTGTGAAATGTATTGTAACCATCAAATGTTGAAATATTGAAATCGGCATTATCGAATACAAATTGTGAAAAACTATTTGGATCAACGTCAGGCTGTGGATATAGCAACGAAGAAGTCTCAAATACATAAACGTCAGTATAAGAAGAACAAAACCCAAAATTAGAAAAAATATCTATTGCACGTTTTGTACCAAAATTTCTATGTAAATATAGACCTAGACCCAACAAAATAGGCGAAATAAATGAGCGAGGTCGGCAAAAACGTATGATGCTGTGTGCTAAAGGTAAGTATTTATTTTCACATTTTTTTTGATCGGATTTTTTTTTTGTACCACAAACATTAGATAAAAATAAAGTTAAACTTTTTGGTAGATCGTTTGCAGCATTATCCATAACTTTGTTTGGTGAAGGATAAGAATTCAGCTCGTAAACTGTTGACCTTATATCTTCTCTTATGATACAAGCTGCCATTTCTACTATTCTTAACCGTTCTTCGTCCTTATTTTTTTTTTTTTGAAGTATACCACGCTTCGGTCAAAATTTTAAATGAAGTATCCTTAAAACTAACAATTGCTTTTTTTCCATGAGTTGTTGTAATAATTAAGTCCTCTCCGTACTTCTCAATCAATTTATTTCTGAAAGTTTTATCATCACACGTACCATTCATTTTTTCATATAAAAATTGTAATGTAAATTGACACTCGTTTCCAACCTCGATATACTCGCATACATCACTAAACGCCTTTAATGCATCTTCATCTTGCGGACGTCCCCTCTTCTTTTTTTCTTGTGATGATTTATTTTACAAAATTTTCTTTCGCAAGATTTATGATAAATTGCTTCTTCAGCAACTAAACATATAACACTATCTAAACGTTTCAAAACTGTTTTTCCCCATTCATCGTTCCTCATTTTCGCCATATCTTCAACAGATTGTTTAAAATGAAGTGTACAAACATTATAGATAATATCGCGACGTTCCTTACTTTTTTTCAATTCATTCTCTATCGAACATTTTTTATCGCAAAATAAACAATTTTTCTTAAAATTAAATACATAAGTGGAACGTAATTTACATTTGACTGGTGACGTCATCATCATGGGGGGGGGTTAGAAGGGTAAGCACGAAGGGTAAGCGTCAGAACTTTAAGTATGATCATTAATGAAGTATATAGTAGGTGTATGCCAATATTCAGCTTTCAGTGAATTTTTACATTATGTTCGAACTTGGTTCGTATTATCAACAGTACAGATATAACACCGCCGCATCTTACATAACAACTACCTTAAATCTTATGGTAATGAATATAAAAAAAAAATTTAAAAAAGTATATTATGTAAAAACAAAGGGCTATCATTTTTCTTATAGGTCATTTTCGTTTAAAACTATAAATTTTGGCTGAAAAAAAATTAAAAAAAAAAATTCAGTTTTTTTAAAAAAAGTTTACTTAAAACTACCACGTTAAAATTGTAGTGATTACAATATTATATTCTTATAGTAAATTTTACGGTCTTTAATTTTGGTCCTATACTTTTTTGTCGTGAGTTCAATGGTTAACGAGTTATAAGAAAAATAGCGGGAGGGTAGATTTCACCCCTTTTTGGGGGGTGGAGAGATACGCACAGGGGTTAGGCGTCAGGACTTTTAGTATGTCAATTGGGAAGGTACATTTTAAGTGTGTACCAAAATTCAGTTGGGGGCGAATTTTTTCCGATCTTTGTTGATTTTTGATCTAATTTGACTGGACTAATATAATATAGGTATATAGGTAAATTATGGATAGATATTTTATACTAAAGTTTTAATATCTTATTATTAAAAAAAAAAATGGTAAATTTACAATTTGAATAATTTAACAATATTAGATGTGATATTATAATTTTAAAATATGATTCACACAAGAAAGGGGAAGTCACTCATTAGTGATTTCACCACTAGATAATATCTTTGGCAAAGTTTATTTTATTTTTTAAAAACATTTCTTAGAATTCAACATTTGCAATTTACTATTATTGTAATTATATTCTACTATTACACCGGTATAAAAATCGATGTTAATTTGGCCATTTTTATTGTATTTACAAACATTTCAATACACATTTAACAATAGATTTTTTTATTATGTCGGTTCGGCATCGACTAAGTATAGTCTATTGACTATAGTTCGTATAAGAATTATTGATTTAAAAAAAAAAAAACTACTTCTTAACCATACCAACTAATGCAATAACGATACATTTTTATATCCAGCTAACCTTTGAATATTAAGGAGATACGAACAATTATAAATAAATTATAGCACACAAAAGGTCATTTTAAATAATAGCAAATTATTGTCCTCTTTGATTATTCTACATAATCTAATATTAATAGACTATGATAATTGATAACTAACAATATAATTTAAAACTAAATAATTATACGCTCACGATAAATATTAATTACTATACATCACGCCTATACCTATAATTATAAATTGTTGTAATATATTATCACACTATAACAAGACCTATATACTATAATGTTATAAACTTAGAATGATAATTGATTATAGTATATATATAATAATTGCAGTGATAAGTAGTTTTTTTTATGTCAAATTAAATGTACGTATACGAAATTTATTTTTGAACAATTTGATATTCGTTTGAAAAGAAATCGAGGGAAGTAATTGATTGAACTATACAAATTGATTTTTCCAATACATATGAATTCTTATAACATCGTTTGTTTAAAAAATATCAAAATCTCAATCACTTTTAAAGGACAGAACATTTTAACAAAACTATAGACTATAGAATAATGATCGTTTAAACATATTTAAATAATACAAATATTTTACATTACGTGGCCCTTGCCAATGTTGTTAGTTGTTGCAAAATTACGAAATTATAAAGAAAATTAATTAAACATAATATTGACGCAGATCGGCTATTACATTACTTTTAATACAGTTTTAGAGCCGACAAAATCGAATGAGATGTTTTTAATGCATATATTATTTGATATTTTTTTTAAAATGTACGATACAAAAATGTATTTTTTTAAACAAATATAACTTTTTGTTATGCACCATTTTGAAATATAAAATGGATACCTACGTCATTACATCGAAAATATTGTTAAGTTACCTTAAATTGTGTTTTTCTACTGAAACCACTTAAGTGGTGATCTCTTCGTAGTTTGTATTTAACTAAAAATCCAGCAAAATAAAATGCTTGAAAGATAAATATTAAATACTCACAAAACATTTTGATATAATTAATAATTTGATTTTTATAAATTAAAAGGCTTTTGGGAAATATGAATCGCCCCGTTTATCGTATTCTCCACTACACATTATACTTACTTGACGTGTAGGCTGCATATTTACAGGAGGGACGCCAGTTCGTCTAAAAATATGGAAGGGACATTCAATATTATGAAATTCCCATGTCTGTATAGGTAATAAATATAATAATATTATAGTTATTATATTATTAATATTATGATTAATTTTGGTAGTAGGTAATTATTGCAATAAGTAAATTATTTATTTTATTAAATTATAATTTTGATCCAACAATACTAGCCGAGAACTTCGTAAAGAATTGTCACACGAGTACATTTTACAGGTTTCCAAGTTCATGTTATAGGCAAAGATAAAATATTATACTAGTACTTAAAATCAATGACAATATTTTAACTAGCGATGAACAGTCTTCAGCTAATATTTTATTTCAGATAATATCATTTAATTAATCAAATAACAATATTTCGATCCGTTATTTTATGGATATCTATGTTTATAGAACTACATTTTTTTAAATTAGTTTAGAACTATTTCTTCTTTTGATTTTTGATTTTAAAGTTGAAGCAACCATATTAGAGATTCAGTTTTTTAATAAATGAAAATGAAAATGTTCTTCTTTTCGATAGTTATCTGGATTCTGGTTTGAAAAGTACCTAAGCTATACACTGGAAATAAGTAGGTACATCAATAATATTTATTATGCACTATTGTACCAATATGACTATATTATACACAAGTCTCTACTATGATCCAGTGTCGGCCTGGCCATAGCCGCTAGGCCACGGACGAGTCTGGGGCCCCCGCCTTTTTTTGTTGAGGGCCCCGATAGTTGATACTATGAATATTGGATATTGAATATTATTGTAATTATTATATTATATCATTAAAAATTATAATACTATTAGAGTATTATCATTTTATCAAAAATTAATGATATAAATAAAATCAATTACACAACTTGAATCGCATTAAAAGATATTAAGTTGTATAATATTATATGGTATTATTTATATGATTTTTTTTTAGAATTATAAATAATTAGGTACTCTACCTAACTATGTAGTTAACTAAAATGTGTATTTTAAAAATATAGTATTTTGCAACACCTGTTTATTAGCACTTTTTTAACATTTTTTATATAACATTTTTGGGGGCCCTTCTGTATAAATGCATCCGGGGCCCTTTAAGTACCAGACCGACACTGCTATGATCTATAATAATACAAGTAGGTATGTGCTTAGGTTATAAATTATAATATATTCTATTATACAGGCTATAAACAGTAATAATATTATTGCATTTCAAAGATATATTTTTTATTCGAGTGACCATACATCCGCGTTAATTAAAACTAAAAGTTCATAGTTGTTTTTGTTATTAAATATAATTTGAAAATTATAAAAATTAACTTTACTCTACTAATTAACAAAGATATATTTTTATTTCAATATTTTTTTTTATTTTTAGCATAATAATTTATTTAAGTAATTAATTTAAAATTGTATTTCAGTTAAATTGATAACTACATTTAATTGTTATGGAAATGCATGCAATTTATTATTGTTGTTAACAGTTGGTTATTAGTTATTACTTAATATTAATATTATTTATAATAGTTATAGTTATTGTAAACTACAAATTAGCAAGTATACAATTGAAACTTATATATTTTTTTTTTTTTTATTGATCAAAATAACATCCACAACAAAGACCATTAGTTACAATTATTTACAAAACGATATAAGATAATGTGCTAAGGTACAAAGATATGTTATAAAATTATATTAAGACATTTAAAACTTATATTTATTATTACTTATATAGTTATATGAGAATATTGTTTTAAATGTTAAATTAATTCGATATTGCACGAAATTAGATGTTTATAGAATATGTGCTGTGCACAACGACATAATGTTGTCGACATTATTGTTTACACATTTTTTATTCAAGGCTGGACATTAATGAGTTAATAAGTTAAAGTTAAGCTACTTTTAACAAAGTTAATTAAAGAGTTACATTTTCCCCATGTTATTCAGTAACTTCACTAGTTAATTTATTTTATTTTATTTTTCCCAAACCACATTTTTAAAATAAATTCAATTTTGTACAATTAATTCAATGAAAAAAATCCAGAAAAATTAAGTATATTTTAGTAAATAATAATATTTATAATAATAGTAAGTTATTATTTTGCATATTCACAGAAAATATTATATAACTATATTATAGACGGAAATGTTATAGGGGTAACCGAGTCATTAATAAAAGAAAAATATAACAATTTACTCAGTAGGTACCTACCCATACACGACATAATATTATAACTTAACCTATACCCTATACATAATTATTATTAATATTATTAGTTATTACTTATTATATTTGTATTTATTCATAGAATTACAGTGATAACTTGGCCCGTCGGTGTAAATAATAGTATAATACCCGTAGTAGAGTGGTAGTTCATCGTATTTACGTATTTCTATTATCTTTATAGATAACCTGGCTGTTATCTATAATAATATAATATCTATTTAGGCTATATTATAATTTATATGTTCCAACTATTGTCTATTACTACTTATATACATAATATATGATGTCACTGCATAACGGTATATTGTTCTTATACATATACAACATTTAGTATATAACATATTAATTAGGTAGGTATGTAACATTTGGTTACTCCTAACAATAAAATTTACAAAAACAGGCAAATATTATATACCTACCTACGAATACGACTGGTATGCTCGAAGCGCTGCTGCACTCGTAGCGTATTACACTCGTGTCTCATGC